GGCCCCGTAAGTATTGACAGACAATACTAATATAATGGCTCTGCAGGACATGAAACAAGAAATTCTATACATTCATTGACTTTTGTCCTGTTTTTCTTTATTTTTATTTGCTAGCAATTCATTATTTGTGAGATTGCCATATTTTGACAGTACACATGGATTTTGCATTGTTTTTGGCAGGCTGTATGTGGATATTGGGGGATCCAATCCCTTCTGAGATCTCATAAAATGGCATGATTGATTGGAATCCTTATGAATTCAGTATATTGCCATTAATTGCAATCTAGATGCTCTATATTAACCACTTGTTTCAAATAAATGTCACTTTTAATTGGTTTCCAAATATGGCTCTCTAATGAGGTTTATTGTTAAAGATTGTGACAATCTCATGTACTCATTGCCATTGTTCAGATGGTGTCACTAGACATGTCTGTCAGGCGACCTTCAGCCAGTTTAACAAAAAGTATACAAAAAGCTAAGTGGTGGAGCAATAAAGATAAACACAAAAAACCTCTATTCAAACTCCTTAAAGGACCACTTTTTTTTTTTCTTTTAATATTCTAAAATAAAAAAAGGAAAAGACAGGAATGAAAATGCTGCAAGTTCTATATAGGGAAATACCACTAACCTATACACATCCAATGGGAAACCTAGAAATAGCTCCTAATAGAAACTAATGGCCAGCCATATAGACTTTATACATACCACCAACTGTGTAGGATAATGAGCAACAGACCAGACAATACAACATATAAAATGAATTTAACAATTTGATTGTGCATCATAAAAACCTCTGAAGTGATACTAAAAATGGCTGCATATGCAGGAATTAAAACAGAAATAAAAACTGTAGGAATAAAAATTGAAAATAATCTGAATAGATAAAAAAGGGTTTTCAATTTAACAATAAGTGTCCATTTTCCAATGGCTGCTGTCAATCTGTGTCTGGCCTATGATGTCTGTGTGTGATGTATATGCCTTTATCTGTATATAAAAAGCCTCATTGTTCTCTCAGTATAAAGATAACCAAGCGCCTACAGATACATGCACCCACTTACAGTGTCATTAATACCAACATCTATGCTCAGCCTGCAGTCTTTATTGATGCGCTGGATATTATAGATGCACTCTTCTGGCCTGGAGGACTTGCTTTCCAAATACTTCATCAGGGCTTGCAGTTGTGAATGTGGCTAGGTGCAGTTTAATGTTTTGGGTTTTTTGGTTTTTTTAAATGACTGACAACGTGATTTATTTTCTCCTTGTATGAACAATGCACTGTCTCTGTCAGCTTGTAGTGTTTAGGCAGAGAATAGCTATGCTTTTCGAGGCGCAAATGTTTGGATCTTCATTTGTCATTTTGCCCAGTATAATCACGAATCACTCTTTATAGTCCGAAACGTACAATTGTTACCCATTGCAGGTATATTTTGTTTGTTCATCTGCACTTTTAGAATAAAAAAAAATTCGATTAGAGATGCTTATTTTTTCATAATACCCAATTAGCTTAGTTCATTATTTTCATATATGATTTTTTTGCATTCAGATTCAAGGTGAGTCCGAGTGCTATGAGCAGGAAGTGAAATCCTGGAAAAAGCCAGGAGCAACATTAAATATTGCAGTTTGTCCAGAATTTCATTGCGCTGTGCTCCATGACTATGTCAAAACACAAAGTGGTCATGGTGTTTGGAGTGCATTAAATTGAGGATTAGGATTTCTATCATGTGGGAAGAGTCAAGTCATCTGTTTAAATTAAATATCACTAGTTAAAGGTGATTGTTCACATTTTTCATTTCAGCTTGACTAATGCTGCTCTTTTCCGCCGTCATTGTGCTTTAGTCATGTTAACTAGTTTAATTTTATCATTCTTTCTGCAGGTTTGGAGCGAAGTCAACCAAGCTGTCTTAGATTATGAGAACCGCGAATCCACACCTAAACTGGCAAAACTCCTCAAACTGCTCCTGTGGGCACAGAACGAGTTAGACCAAAAGAAAGTAAAATACCCCAAAATGGCTGACCTCAGCAAAGGGACAGTGGAGGAACCCAAATAAAACCCTTCATCATCCCCAATGGGACCCAGAAACATCACCCTTCTTCATCCTCCTGCATTAACAGTCTGTGACTGCAAACCTTTTAACTAGTGTGCTGGAGGGCCCCTCCTTGGGGCCATTTCCCTTTTTCTCTGACATCGTTTCCTGTTTACAGATGGTTCCATGCGAGAGGCATGGCAAGGATGGCAGGAGGAAGATTATAGAACTCTAGTGCCTGCACAGACCCTGCGGTGCCTGGACCTACCAAGAAAGGTTTGGGTGCACATCTACCACAAACTCTAGTCTATGCATCCGGCACAAAAATTAGGAGTCTGTCAGTATATGCAGTGTTTTAAAACCGTAGCTGAGGAAATTGAACGTTTCAGAAATTTGTTCACTTTTAAGGAGTTATCATTTACCCCATTCATCTTGTCAGAGACCTCGGCAGCTATTTTGGAAATAGTATTACAGGCCCGTTTGTTCTGTAAGCTAGATTTCTCCATTACTTACCTTGGCTTAGTGTTGGTTAACCTATGGCACAATGGCTTATCAGATTTCCCTTGATCCTTAATCAGTCACCTCTTGGGAAACGTAGGCTGTTACAGCTGCAGTGCCAAAACGGATGCCTTCACTGCCTTAGCAATTTTATAGTCGTGTGACTTTTTCCAAGTTTAAGTTGTAAATAAAGACTTTAATTTTGGAATTGTTCATGCAGCTTCCGACAAAACATCTATAAAACTTAAATCCCACTTTTTTTTGTGAACTAGAAATTTGTATATTATTTGTGGCCTCTGTAGTTCCCGCTTAATAAAGTCAGATGTTTGTGTTTCACCCTTCTGATCTCTAAGAGCTAAGCAACACTGGTTTAACTGTCATATCTTCACCCACTTAATAGTCCAGCTTAATGAGACTTTTTATAGAAAAACATTGAGTATTATCCACTTTGAAAATAATCCTATTTAAGACTCCTGCTGCTCGCCTTTCTGATAAAATGTGTCTGAGGTTCACCATTTCGCTTTTTTTAGTAGACTACCTTGAGTGCCATTGTTGGTGTTGAAATAAACCAGTTTATATACAGTAAATCACACAGCATTAATGATTTTGCAGGTTATGCAATATATAATAAAATCTGAAAAAATGCAAGATGACTGCTGTCAATGGCAGAATCAGGTGAGGTCCAGCAAGCTGTGTGACAAGGCATGCTGTGCGCTGGACATAGAGTTCAGTGTCCTGTATTCTCTGCGCTAATGAGCTGTGTGTATTTGGCATTCTGGCAGGGGATGTAGAGGGTTAATTAGCGTTTTGCTTGTGTTAACTGGGATTATTGCACGGCAGACCTGTCATGATCTCCCACTACTTAATACTGTTAGTTGTGTGTTTGTGTCATTTTCCGAGTGCTGTTTAAAAATTCAGAGCATATGAAGTTGGGAATTTCACACCTCTCCTCATTTCCACATGAGTTTTGAATGTTAATCTTGTGGTTTTCCAAATCTCAAAGGGTGGCACATTGTCACTGCATTGTATTACATGACACTGCTTACATTGACATCCTGCAAGCCCACCTATACAGTCATGCAGCAAAGATCTACAAGAGGTATCGGTAGCCCCCCAATTGCTCAATTTCTGCCAATTCTAATACCTAGCTTCTAAAATAGATTTTCACCTTGGCAGTCAGCCCTTCTTTCTGTATTGAGTGTTCAGTAATGTTCACCCTTCCCTTGTTTTCTTTCAAGGTATTCGGTGTATCCTCCGCTACTGATCAACCCCAGCCCAACTGTACATTGCCACTTAACTGTTTGTCACTCACGGAGAGTAATATTTGATGATCTGATAGAGATGTTTAATTATGTAGTAAATATTAGAAATGGTTCAGAGTATTTACAATGGTGCTTTCCCTGCACATCTTGCATAGCGCAGAGAGAGTCTGTCCTGTGTCTGGTTCCCAGTGTTTTACTGGCACTCATTGAGATGGGAAATGTCAGATTTCTGGAGAAATGTCAAGGGGGTGGCACATTTTAAACCAAAATAGACCAATTGAAAAGTTTTCCAATTCAACTGTTTTGTGGCTCCCTTTTTAGGTCTCTGCAGATTCCCAGCTGAGTGAATAACACTGTTTATCATGGATCACTTCATCTTATTTAGATCAATTACCATAGAAAAGGACGAGGATTTAGGCTTCAACACTAAAGCGAAATAGCGATACACGTGATATACGGTGAGGCACAGCTCTATTAGCCTGAACCAGACTGGCAAGCTGCCCCATGTGGACAATAGTCACCAGGTCTGTGCAGGGATTTGCCGGTAGCTGTCAGCATGAATTACACGGGGTGTGTGTGTGTGTAAATAGCCATTTACCTCTGTATATAGTTTTACATTCCTGTTCTGCAGGACGTGTGTGTAATGTATATGATGTGCGAGACCTGTGTGTGTTACACATAATTCAGGTTGGGGGGAGAGCTCGGGAAATATTTTGCAATTAAAATTTCTGAAGTTCTAGATGTTGTGCTGGTTTCATTTTATTCTTTATCTTTAGCCCCAAAACTCTCATCTTACAGATAATGCTATAGCGCCACTGAAAAATTATGTATTTGAAGATAGTTTTAGTGACCTCCAATCACATCCTTGGAAGTGGGTAAGGATTACATTACACACTAACTGTCTACACATTAACCTGCATGTGACCAGCGCAGAACTAGTTTTATCTGAAATGTTACGGTCAATGTATTTTTATTTGGGTAGTGTAGGGTCTCACTGAGTGCAGTGACAGTCTCTAAAAATTGTAATGTTTGAGGCCCTGTATTCCAACCATTCTAGCCCTTTCAATATAATCCTATTCCACCTCATTCAAAAAACTTTACCACTCTGACCTTTTTAATGAGGATGTGGCATTATTTTCAGTGAACCTTAAAGGGACACTATAGTCCCCAAAACAACTACAACTTATTGTATCTGTTCTGGTGAGTATAATCATTTCCTTCAGGCTTTTTGCAGTAAATACTGTCTTTTCAGAGAAAACAGTGTTTACAATACAGCCTGGGGATACCTTCACTGGCAACTCCTCAGATGGCTGCTAAAGGGGCTTCCTGGGGCAGTGCTGCACAGTGTGACTGACATTCAGTGTCTCCGCCCTCTGCATGGAGACACTGAACTTTCCTCATAGAGATGCATTGATTCAATGCATCTGTATGAGGAGATGCTGAATGGACAGGGCTGTGTATCGCTTGTGCTGGCTCTGCCCTTGATCTGCCTACTTGACAAGCTCAGCCAATCCAATGCTTTCCCAAAGGAAAGCATTGTGATTGGCTATTATCAACACTTCTCATGATGTCAGCCAAGCAGGCAGGTAAGGGTGAGTCAGCAGGAGCAGACTGGAATAAAGGTAGGATTTTGCTACTTTTAGGGAGCCTGTAAATTGAAACCAGTAACCAAAAAAAAGCTGTAATTTAAATGTACTCCCTATTGTGCCAGTACCGCTGTTTGATTCAATTATATTGTATCTTCCATATCCTGCAGCCAGGAGCGTGGTTCTCCCGCAAAATATACCAGGAAATATAAATTAAAATTTCTTTTGCTTTTCAGAGGGCTCCACACTGTATTTTATTTAAAACGATTCCAAACTTTATTGAAGATTAAAATATCCATTGTACAGCAATGTGCTAAATACTTCAACCATTTTGCCGTCAGCCAAGTTTACGTGTTTCATGCTATTAAACAGCACTTTCTCAAAACGTCACAGACTTAGTTTGCAGACCTGCATGAATATCGCTACAATAATCACAAGCAGCTGCGAACTAACAGATAAAATATCCTGGAACAGGAGTCCGGACCACAATATCCTATAGGAAACCTAACCGGCTGAGCAAGTTTATATCCATGCAAGGGTGCAACCTACATATGTAAATTTTATTTATTATGATTGTTTTTTTTTTTTTAGTTACTTAGTTGATTGCTAGAATGTGCCAAAACACACAGTGACCATTCACCTTCAACATCCATTGTGTGGAAATAATTTAGCTTTAGGGTTGTTCACTAAATAGTATTAATCTATTCTGTGTGTATAGTTCAGCCTTTTATTCAATTCATACCCTCAATGATGTATATTTATAATAACCCATATAGTACACTTATCTATATTTAATTGTGTGTCTGATTACAACACATCATATTGTAGAAATCAGTCTATTTAAATCAAACTCTGCAAATAAAACTTTTCTATAAACATCCGTTTTCCTGGCACTGCAGGACCCTGAAACTGCTATGTTTTCAGCTACAGGGTTAACACTAGATGGAGCTGGCACCCAGACCACTTCATTGAGCTGAAGTGGTCTGGGTGCCTATAGTGATCCTTTAAATACCCATTACTGTTCTGACACTGAGCACAGCGAGAGCCATGAGGTCAAGTAGTCCTTACATTTATACATATAAGAAAAGAAAAAACACTTTGACACTACTGGGTAATCCCTAAATCCTGAACTTGTAGGTGTGCATTGAGGACCGGTTTGTGTCTACATATATATAAAATACATTTTGCTGGGGTTTTTTTTGAGTTGCCCTAATTGGTAAAAATCATTGCATATTTTATAATGTTTGAGGGTTATTGCAGTTATTTTATAATATTACAATTCATCTTAAGTTGAATGATTTGAATGTGTTGCTAAATGTTGTATAAATAGAAAAAATGTAAACTGCTTTATAGAACAGAAACAAAAATCACAATTAAGTGAAAAGTGTTGACTAGCATAAATTAATGGCATCAAACATTCATGGGAAAGGTACTAAAAGTAGTGTTGGCAATTGGCTAATTTGTCTTGAAAGCTTGTAATCTAAATGTGCAGTGTTTTTTAGTAGCGCTCTCTACACTTAGACAATCCACACACCTAACGCACTTTAGCTTGTTCAAGTGCCTTACGTGTGAAGTGTCATCTTTTTCTACAACACACCCACCCCCCTGGCTGTTAAGCAGAAACCTGATCCTGTTACTTCCTGGTTTGGTTAGCTCAGTTGAGCTAAACTCAAGAGGCAGCAGTAACCCAGAGCACCTGCCTTTCAAAAACTTCTCATTGAGCTACATTGGGAAGTCTGTGATTGGATAGCCACAGAAAGTCTGGGCGCGTTAGAAGGGGAGGGCTATGTTTTCACTGGGGTAAATTTACTAATTTGTAAAAAATTTAATAAAATCTGTTGGAGTGTTCCTTTACAATGCAGCAATATGAAGGTTTGCAATCTCTAATACAGGAAGTACAAAGTGCGCAGTCACCACATCCTATTTCTTTTTGTTCTTTATAATGGTTTTTGAGTACACTGATAGATGATCTATCCGCTATCTATAGAGATAGGACATGCCTTCTAGATTCTATGCAATAAAGCAAGTACTGAATGATGGATTTACAATGTTCGGATATCAAAATAAAGCAAGTACTGAATGATGGATTTACAATGTTCGGATATCAAAATAAAGCAAGTACTGAATGATGGATTTACAATGTTCGGATATCAAAATGCTGCCATAAGCATTAAATGCTCCTAGCGTTCTATCACAGGGGGAGGTACCTCTTTAGTTAGGATCCGCTCATCCAGGAACAAGCAAACTTCGCATTCATTTAGTGGGAGGAGAACATTTATCTTTTGGGGAGGGGGTTACATTTGTCTTGTTTTGTTGTTTTTTTTTTTTCTCTATTAAATTTTTTTTTTCTTAGTTTGGATGATACCTGTTTGAGGGTTTTTTTTGTTTGTTTGTTTTTTTAATGGGTAATGTGTCCAGGTTTTTTTATTTTATTTTAGCACATTGTGTAAGACCTATCTCGCCTTATTTTTCTTCTCTTCATTCGAGCAGTCAGTTTAATTAGCTTTCAGGGTTGACACTCTTTTGTCTCCACAACTAGCTGTACTTTAAGTATTGATTTGATCTCAGGCTGGCATCAGCCAACAATCACGTTAGAGCAGTTAAATACCCATTACTGTTCTGACACTGAGCACAGCGAGAGCCATGAGGTCAAGTAGTCCTTACATTTATACAACACTGGATTGTGAAATTATTACAATATAGGAAAACGCGTTAACACTGTCATTGTTAAAGGACACTTCTGTCGGCAGACATTGTTCTACGTCTGAATATGTAGCTCTTAGAAGTGGATTACTGATAGTTTGGCAAACAACACCAAACTATAGAGTAGTGGTTTTCAATCCAGTCCAGGATTTAGGGATTACCCAGTTGTGTCTAAGGTGTTTTAAGAAAAGAAAAAACACTTTGACACTACTGGGTAATCCCTAAATACTGGACTGGCAGGTGTGCATTGAGGACCGGTTTGGAAACCACAGCTATAGAGGCATAAAGTGATAAATGGGAGGTTATTTTTGCTGGGAAAATAAAGCATGTGGAAGTAGAGTAAGAACGTATTGTCTTCCTTCACACTAGGTTTCACGAGATACATTTCATGTTTTATGGATTTATCAACAATGAATCGCAAACTGAAATAAATTAAAATTATGCACAAATTGCACTGCCTCATTTTCAGATTACAGCTTGTCCAATCATCTCATTCTGGTCTTTGCAGACAGATCACAAATGGAAAAGCAAGCCTTGCTTTATTTACTTTTTAAATCCATAGATAGCAATGCTTGCTCTGTTTATACACTAAATCCATAGATAGAAGCAGGGCTTGGTCTGTTTATACACTATATAAATCCATAGATAGATAGAAGCAGGGCTCACTGTGTTTATACACTATATAAATCTATAGATAGAAGCAGGGCTCGCTCTGTTTATACACTATATAAATCCATAGAGATAGAAGCAGGGCTCACTGTGTTTACACACTATATAAATTAGAAGCAGGGCTCACTGTGTTTACACACTATATAAATCCATAGATAAATAGAAGCAGGGCTCGCTCTGTTTATACACTATATAAATCCATAGATAGATAGAAGCAGGGCTCGCTCTGTTTATACACTATATAAATCCATAGATAGATAGAAGCAGGGCTCACTCTGTTTATACACTATATAAATCCATAGATAGATAGAAGCAGGGCTCGCTCTGTTTATACACTATATAAATCCATAGATAGATAGAAGCAGGGCTCGCTCTGTTTATACACTATATAAATCCATAGATAGATAGAAGCAGGGCTCGCTCTGTTTATACACTATATAAATCCATAGATAGATAGAAGCAGGGCTCGCTCTGTTTATACACTATATAAATCCATAGATAGATAGAAGCAGGGCTCGCTCTGTTTATACACTATATAAATCCATAGATAGAAGCAGGGCTCACTCTGTTTATACACTATATAAATCTATAGATAGAAGCAGGGCTCGCTCTGTTTATACACTATATAAATCCATAGATGGATAGAAGCAGGGCTCACTCTGTTTATACACTATATAAATCCATAGATAGATAGAAGCAGGGCTCGCTCTGTTTATACACTATATAAATCCATAGATAGAAGCAGGGCTGGCTCTGTTTATACACTATATAAATCCATAGATAGATAGAAGCAGGAGCTCGCTCTGTTTATACACTATATAAATCCATAGATAGATAGAAGCAGGGCTCGCTCTGTTTATACACTATATAAACCATAGATAGATAGAAGCAGGGCTCGTTCTGTTTATACACTATATAAATCCATAGATTGATAGAAGCAGGGCTCACTCTGTTTCTACACTATATAAATCCATAGATACATAGAAGCAGGACTCACTCTGTTTATACACTATATAAATCCATAGATAGAAGCAGGGCTCGCTCTGTTTATACACTATATAAATCCATAGATAGACAGAAGCAGGGCTCGCTCTGTTTATACACTATATAAATACATAGATAGATAGAAGCAGGGCTCGCTCTGTTTATACACTATATAAATCCATAGATAGAAGCAGGGCTTACTCTGTTTATACACTATATAAATCCATAGATAGATAGAAGCAGGGCTCACTGTGTTTATACACTATATAAATCTATAGATAGAAGCAGGGCTCGCTCTGTTTATACACTATATAAATCCATAGATGGATAGAAGCAGGGCTCACTGTGTTTACACACTATATAAATCCATAGATAGATAGAAGCAGGGCTCGCTCTGTTTATACACTATATAAATCCATAGATAGATAGAAGCAGGGCACGCTCTGTTTATACACTATATAAATCCATAGATAGATAGAAGCAGGGCTCACTCTGTTTATACACTATATAAATCCATAGATACATAGAAGCAGGACTCACTCTGTTTATACACTACATAAATCCATAGATAGATAGAAGAAGGGCTCGCTCTGTTTTTACACTATAAAAATCCATAGATAGAAGTAGGGCTCGCTCTGTTTATACACTATATAAATCCATAGATAGACAGAAGTAGGGCTCGCTCTGTTTATACACTATATAAATCCATAGATAGACAGAAGCAGGGCTCGCTCTGTTTATACACTATATAAATCCATAGATAGATAGAAGCAGGGCTCGCTCTGTTTATACACTATATAAATCAATAGATAGAAGCAGGGCTCACTCTGTTTATACACTATATAAATCTATAGATAGAAGCAGGGCTCGCTCTGTTTATACACTATATAAATCCATAGATGGATAGAAGCAGGGCTCACTGTGTTTATACACTATATAAATCCATAGATAGAAGCAGGGCTCGCTCTGTTTATACACTATATAAATCCATAGATAGAAGCAGGGCTCGCTCTGCTTATACACTATATAAATCCATAGATAGAAGTAGGGCTCGCTCTGTTTATACACTATAAAAATCCATAGATAGAAGTAGGGCTCGCTCTGTTTATACACTATATAAATCCATAGATAGACAGAAGCAGGGCTCGCTCTGTTTATACACTATATAAATACATAGATAGATAGAAGCAGGGCTCGCTCTGTTTATACACTATATAAATCCATAGATAGAAGCAGGGCTCACTCTGTTTATACACTATATAAATCTATAGATAGAAGCAGGGCTCGCTCTGTTTATACACTATATAAATCCATAGATAGAAGCAGGGCTCACTGTGTTTATACACTATATAAATCCATAGATAGAAGCAGGGCTCGCTCTGCTTATACACTATATAAATCCATAAATAGAAGTAGGGCTCGCTCTGTTTATACACTATATAAATCCATAGATAGAAGCAGGGCTCGCTCTGTGTATACACTATATAAATCCATAGATAGAAGCAAGGTTCGCTCTGTTTATACACTATATAAATCCATAGATAGATAGAAGCAGGGCTCGCTCTGTTTATACACTATATAAATCCATAGATACAAGTAGGGCTCGCTCTGTTTATACACTATATAAACCCATAGATGGATAGAAGCAGGGCTCACTCTGTTTATACACTATATAAATCCATAGATAGATAGAAGCAGGGCTCGCTCTGTTTATACACTATATAAATCCATAGATAGATAGAAGCAGGATTCGCTCTGTTTATACACTATATAAATCCATAGATAAAAGCAGGGCTCGCTCTGTTTATACACTATATAAAATCCATAGATAGATAGAAGCAGGGTCTACCCTTGCTTGCCACTATATAGTCCATAGATGGAAGCCGGAGTTCGCTTCTGTTTATACACTATATAAATCCATAGATAGATATAGCAGGGCTCGCTTCTGTTTATACACTATATAAATCCATAGATAGATAGAAGCAGGGCTCGCCTGTTTATACACTATATAAATCCATAGATAGATAGAAGTAGACCCGCTTCTGTTTATACACTATATAAATCCACAGATAGAAGCAGGGCTCGCTCTGTTTATACACTATATAAATCCATAGATAGAAGCAGGGCTTGCTCTGTTTATACACTATATAAATCTATAGATAGAAGCAGGGCTCGCTCTGTTTATACACTATATAAATCCATAGATAGAAGCAGGGCACGCTCTGTTTATACACTATATAAATCCATAGATAGATAGAAGCAGGGCTCGCTCTGTTTATACACTATATAAAATCCATAGATAGATAGAAGCAGGGCTCGCTCTGTTTATACACTATATAAATCCATAGATAGATAGAAGCAGGGCTCGCTCTGTTTATACACTATATAAAGCCATAGATAGATAGAAGCA